GCCTGAGGCCACCAACTAGATTCTTTTTCTCACATCTCCGATATCATGAGCATTTCGGCAGAATGGTACCGAGATGCGACTTTGGGCTGGCTTGTTCTCGCATATTAATCTCTATTGTACACGAGAACAGCCGGACCGTGTTTTTAGGGCTGGCAGGCAGGTGAATTTTGCGCCGGTGCGCAGATGCGTCGATATCTTATTTTACGGCAAACGGGTGGAGGGGTCAAGGTGGTCCTTTTTTTATCGACTAGGGAAAAATGGAAATTGTTATGTCACGGATTGAATTCGTACGTTTTCGCCCCGTTTCACCTTTTCGTTGGGGCCAGAAAGCCTTTGCTGGTAGTCCAGTCTCTGATCAGGCGGGACTTTTCTCATCAGCAACGCTTTTTTTCCGGGTACTTGCCGTATCGCGGATGATCCCTTCTACTATGAGAGTTTTGCCCCATGGTGTCGTTGTTTTCCATGTTTGGTTTGACGACTCGCCGAATCGAGTCAATGCAAATGTTGCTGTTGGTTTTTCTTGGTGTCCGTTTTTTTTTTTTTTTTTTGCCTCTTGCCTCTCCCCCATTCCACTATTGCTATGTCAGGCATTTTTTATTTTTTAAGTTGCTGGCTGCTCGTTTTCCTCCTGTATAATGGCCCAGTCTCTCTCGGGAGAGAAGGAATCGTCTCGTGGCTCTTGCATCTTCATTCCCCTCCCCCAACGCACAAAAACAAAAAAACTACTTATACCGTTGTCCACGGCCGATAATGAGTGAAGAGACGATATAGTTTCGTCTCGTGACTGGGGCGGCTTGTATGTAAAGCTGGATTGTGGACAAGTAGTACGTTTCTACGGGGACTGAAATTTTCCATGTATGATTCGGTGCTACGTGGCTGGTCTGGTTTACACTCTAGGCGTGGATTAATGAACACTGAAATAAAAATCTAAGCTACGTGCCTCTTGGTGTGATTGCGTAGAGGAGAGGGAGTTGCGGGTTTGTAGTCACGGAGTATTGAACTTTATACAGGGTTTTTTGGTGGAAATTTGACTCTCCATGATGACTATGCATATTAACCAATTATGCTACATTAAGTAAATATAAACCGTGAGAAAAGGTATAGGTATATACTGCTGACATGCCAGACTCCGTCACCATATGCCCAATATTCAACGCTAGTGCGCGAACCGCATGTCTGTTGTTCTTGATTTTCATTGTCTCATCTTGCATGGCTTTGAAATAATCACCAACAAGTTTCAAGCCGGGTATCGTTCTCTTCTGTCCAGTTCATGAGGTGGCTGCGCGATTCTGGTCTAATAGGCGAGCGGCTCGTTCTAGACGCTCCTGCTTCTCTCTTAGCCCTCGACCCGTGCCAAGCTTGCCGTCGCTGCTCTCTTCACCAAGACCGACTGCTTCTTCGAATGTATCGATGCCCCTTGCGTCAACGGGGGGTGCGGGAGGCCGTGGTGCGCGGTACATGGTAGTCTTGATGGCAGGTTCACGGTCCAGGTCGTCATCTTCGAAACCGCCGAAACGGCCGCCTGATAGACGACGGGCAATGCGGCGCCAGAATCGGCGGCCCCGAGACAAGGCACCAGCGCTATGCTGCCGTTGTGACAAGGAATTCCCAGCAGACGAGTGTGTATCTGAAAGAGAGAAGGCAATGCCCGTGGAACTGGCTGCCGAAGAGGCAGCGTCGTCAAGTGCCGAGGCGACTTCAGAACGCCAGATGAGAATGCGGTTCTGAGTTGAAGCAGAAATGCTCGACCCCCGTGCAGCCATGGCTGAAATTTTGGAAGAGAAAAGAGGCTAAAGAATTTTTGGTCGGGTCCAAGTGTAGAAGGAAGGGATGTCGTGTGAGTCTCCGTCCAAGGATGGGAGACCCAACCAGGAAGTTGTGAATTGGAGGTGCAGCAGTTTCCAGTCGAAATGATAGTTATACCCTCTTTGAATACTATTTCACCCTGCACGAAGCAAGAATTGGACTTGGACTACCTCGTGTTTAGTCTAGTCTATTGTTCTCACGTTGAAATGTTTGTACTCGGCCCTATGATGCAATGGCGCGGCACTGGTAAGTTTCGGCGGTTATATCGTATGTTAGTGCCGTTGGCGGTTCGATGTATCGGCAGAGAGTATTTCTTATGTCTGAGTCAATTTCGGCAGGGTATTCGCAATTTCAGATGCTGCCCATACGCCCCGTGACCGACACCAATTGACTGGAACGGGTGGCAGTCAGTGTACAGGAACCAAATGCAATCGTGGGAAAATGATGACTTCGGAAGTGCTAGTTTCTTTTGATCGAAGCTGCGTGGCTTCGGAGCCAGGAGCGTGACTGGGGTAGTTAGGTGGGTGCCGGTGGATTAGTATTTGACTGTAGCCACCAGATCCAATCAAGCAACCGATATTAATGGTACGTTGGTGTAATGGCTTTCCACTGTTGGGGTATCTTGCGGATAGAATAGAAGCTGAATGACGCACAGGGTTGTGTCATCCAAGGTGAGAGAGCAAACGCAAGCGATGTGGGCTATAAAAGCTCTCCCTCATGGAACACGCAGATGTGAGCGAGTTGCTCAAGGGTGGAGAGTAGGGAAGAAAATGTGGTGGTGTATAGTTAGTCATTCGCGAGTAGGTGGGCGTTGTCGACTTTAAGGACCGTTGCGTTTGAAGGGTCTCGCCTCGATGACGGATGGCCTGGTTGGAGACACCTGAGCCAGGAAAACGGTTAAGGGAAGACTAGCACAGAACAGAGGGAAGCTCCCTGAACTAACGAGGAGACCGTGAGTCTAGGTCCTATCGTTTGCTGTACAACGGCAGTGGAGGGTGGGCGGGCACATACTAGGGAGATGGTTCGTGAGTAGTATGCGAAGCACATGGATGAAATCTTAAATGGCGATCGCCTCGGCAGACAGCCGAAGCTTAATCAGAGCAATGGAGATGGGCCTCACAGCACCCATAACACCAGAGCACCACCGCACCCTGGGTTCGTGCAGTAGTATCTCGATGGCGATCGCTGATACGCCAAGGTACAACCATGGAAGCTGGAGCTCGGCGGTGGTGGCGGAGGCGGCGTCGTGGAGGTCAAGCCGTGGATGGTCAAGATGGGACGATGGATTCTGGTCTCGTGATGGCTCATGACACACGGCAGTCTGTCTGTTCACCTGGTTGGAGGAGAGCAAGAGGGCTCGTCTCCTTCCTTCTCGAGTGGGAAACAGCCTCGCGTGTTCCTTCCCGCCACCGTTCTCCGTCCAGAACTCACTGCTCAGAACTGGAGTCTGCACGGAATACTCCGTATTAGGACGTGAAGATTGAATGATTCTCGGTTCGCCTGTCCGAAGCTGCAGTCGAGCCCCCTCTGCCGTCCACCGGAGCGAGTTGGACCTCTTTTTGCATCACCATTTTCACGCCCCCGCGAGACCATGCAGCAGTCAAGTTGCTATCGGTACTTGATACGGAACTCTACCACCCAGACCACGGCGGCAGTGGCAGTGGAATGGGCGCTGTGGTGGGTGGCAGCAATTCGGATTGACACGTCGTGCACATGTTGACCTACTTGACCTGTACGGAGTAGGAGTAGTACATCAGCCCACCAATGCAGCCCACATCGCGAGGCGGCAACAGCCAAGACCAAGGCAATCGCCGTGGCCGCCCAACAACCGCAACACCAATAGCGAAGTACCGTGATGCGTTGTAACTGGACGTAGGCAGGGACCCCGGTAGTCTTGCTGTCTTAGCCTGGCGATTCATCACTGGCGTGGCCGAGCTGTGGAGACGGCGCAAGCCGCAAGGCCTTCAACGTTGGTCGCCACTTCTTCTGTCAGAGCAGCAGCAGCCGGACAGCTGGATAGCTGGGCTGGGGTGCTGGTGAGACTGGCATGTTGGGGTAATAGCTTCGTCCAATATTGTATGCTGTGCGAAAACTAACGGCGCAGAGGATGACATGTCGGACACGCAAATCGGCGGGCAGAGCTAGTTGCTCTGCTTCGTGTCTTCAATACTGACTGGTCCGTCGCCGTACCCAAGCGTCAAAGCCATGTTGGCTCAAGCATTCTCTGGCGGCTGAGATGCGGCAATAGGGCGGCCCGAGGTTTGCAGCCAATTTGCAGATTCCGCCTCATTTAATAAACGCTGCAGCTGAGCAAACCCAAATCTCCCCAGCCCCCAGCCGTTCCCGTTCCCGTTCGTGTCTTCCGTCGTTGTGGGGGAGATAACAGGGCCTGGGCTTGAACTCAACTATCAGCCCACCTTTGTTACTCGGCCCAGAGCTCTTATTAATCATCTCCAGAAGCCGCAGTTAATCTCAGCTGTGCCGCTCTTCCTCTATCCGAAGTGTCGGAGCATGTTTAGTGTCAATACATTCTCATTTGTCCGTGTTGATGACGGCCCTGCCTTCGCCACGTTAACAATTGCTCGTATAACGAGTAGTATCACTAGTTCTCTATAGCCCCGGAGCGGCAGTGTCGTGGCCTCATGCTATCATGGTATCATAGCGACGATGCGCCGTCCTCACTAGATATCATTGCGCCTACAAGAGAGCAACACCAGCTGGTCACTTACATCATCCAATCACTTGACAGTTCGTCAATGGAACGGCTCGTCCTCCGGCATTTCAGTCACGTCACACGCATTGCATCGCCCGTTAGTTTCAAGTTGTTTAGCTCTAAAAAGAGTCTCATACGGTCAATACACCGTACTCCGTACGTACATACATACCCAGAGCCTTGGCTATCACTACCCAGTTGCCAGGTTTGTATCCTTCCCTCGCTCCCGCCCTTCCCCCCGGTCATTTGGTGTGACCTTGTATCGTCTATTGTTCCCGTCGTACCCAAAAGAAAAATGCTTCTCCTTTTTTTGCAGCGCCATGTGCTTATTAGAGTGTTTCACGAACCACCAGTCGTGTTCGGCTCCGTGGAGTAATTGTTTTCGTAGCCAGAAAGCTACCTAGTCGATTTTGTCCTTGCCGCCGCTCCCGTACCCCTGTTCTATGTGATCAGACACGGCCAGGCTCTCAGGACATGCCAACTATTGCTTCGAACTGGGCTGCAGGGCTTCCCACCCACCAATACCTTCACCGCCATCATCATCCGTCGAGTCCAACAGGTCCACGGATGCAGAGGATCCTGCAGCCTCCTGGCCGTGCCGACTTGGGAGTGGAGGTTTAAATCCGTTGGCGTGCCCCGCTGTGCCGGCTGCTCCCTTGCGCTCTCCGCCTTGTCCACCGCCAACAATTGCTGTTGCCGACTGAGATTCACCAGACTTCTGTTGTGGTGCCACGGACACGGCTTTCCGAGCCAGCGACGCTTGCTGACTCACCTGTGATGTGGTAGACGCCGACCGTGCAGGTCGAGCAGGCGTGGCGGCCTCACTTCGTGCAGACGTGCTCATTGTTGAACCAGTTGTTGTCTTCGAGAGTGGTGAGCCTGCGGCCAGATGGGCGGGCTTTTTGCCCACTGGCGGAGGAGACTTGCCGCTTTTGCCTGCAAGTTGTTGCGACAGCTGTGATACCTGTGATGCTTGTGTAGCTACCGGTGCGGAGCCCGGTGTTGTGGGTAATGCCGGTAGAGTCTGGGTTCTATCCAAACCGAAGCCCTGCGTTGTAGTAGCAGAAGCAGATGTGCTGAGTCTCGAACTTGCCGTTTGTCGTCGAGGCGGCGGCGGCGGCGGTGGTGGTGTTGCAGATTTGCCCGTATCAGATTGACTGCTAATGCTCTGCTCATCATCTAGTCGTAAGCGTCCCACCTGCGCGGGTAGCGTAGAAGGCTCATATGGGATTGGAAGCTGTTTTCTCGACACTGCCGCTGCCCGTTCAGCCATCGCTTTTGGCAATGACACCTTCTCATACGGCGAGCTCGATATACTAGAATATCCAGGTGACGACCTCGGCACCGATACCCAGTCAGGCTCTTCACTCTGACCAAATGGATTTGACGGCCGGTTCGGATTCAAGGCCATTGGGAGACCGTCGCGACCATGAGGCGCTGCCACTTGCGCCCGCGCAGGTTGTCTGTTCTCCAGCCACCATTTCTGACGGTCTGAACTCGCAGGCGGAAGACCGGGCTCAATGGAATCATACCCAATCAGGTCCTCGTCATCTGATTCTTCGCCGTCGCCCAGATGGGCCGTGGGATCGCCCACGTCTGCTTTGCGGCGCTGGTACAGCTCGCGGCTGATATTTTCGCGTTTTTTCTCGTCAACAATGTTGACTTTGCATTCAAACGTAGCATATACCGGGCGGTGGTCTGAGAATTTGAGTGGTGCGGAATCGTACGAGGTTTGGCGGAGATTAGCGCCTTTTCTGAGGATGCGGTCTGTCCATGCTGGGATTCGTGCCTTTTCACTAGTTTTTCCTCATCAGTCTCGTTACATGGGGCATTGAGATGGGTTTGTATGCGGTATGGCTCACGAGCTGTCATAGGTGTCTGAACCGACGTCGAATTTGTACGTGGGCATAAAATTGATCCGAGCCTCCGAGTAGAATGGGAACGATAAGCCAGCAACCATCTGTAAGTTGAGCTGGTCATTTTCGTAGAGTGTCTCCAGATCTTGCTTTTTGACTAAAGCCTTTGCGGTTTCTAAGCCTAGTCCAATGCGATAGTTGAAGTCACCCATCCAAATGATGGCATCTACATGGGTCAGTTTAGTTGAAAAGTCCCCTCGATTCAGGGCTGAATGCTATGGGTTCCTTACCGTGATCTTCGATCCCTCGATTACGCTGAAATCGCAGCCCGTGGTGAATCGTCGTGTAATCTCTATTCCTCTCGTCGTAGTTTGAAAACCCGGCTGCCAAATGCGCCGTGACAAAGCAAATTTGCGTATTGGCGTAATCGAATCGAATGGCCACGGCTCCCTTGTTTCCAGCCATACCTGAAAGACCCGTTTTTTTGACGCTTCCCTCGACATTTTTAATGTTCTTCAGTACAGACGTCTTTACAAAGATGCATAGAGCGGCCCCGACAAGTTGTCCACTTCGCAAGAGGACGTATCTGTCACCTCCAAGTCGGGCTTGCCTATCGTTCAACGTGCGCTTGACGGCTTCTTCCCACAGATGCTTTCTTGAAGGGTCACTGTTCATAATTTGCTGAGGGCTTAGCTCAACGATTTCTTGAAAGGCAACGACATAGATTTCGGGTTGTTCGACGCCTGGTGAGGGGCCAAACAGCCAGGGTGACAAGTCGTGGCCTATGCCGTCTGTGCGGCCGTTGAGGTTGAATGTGCCGGTCCATATGGTGATTGTTTCTGACGATGTGAATTCATTGCTGCGCTTGGAGAGCTCAATCGAAACAAAATCGCTGATGGGATCGAACAAATGCACTGGAGCCTGACCCATAAGGCGGCCAAGCAACATGTCAATCGTCACTTGCCGCGAAGGGTCGACGAAGTTGTTATGGTAGATGCGCTGTACCGACTTGCGCACATCGGCCATGGCACCGGCCAGGGACATCTTGCCATGACGTGTGAAGGAAGATTTCAGGGCGCCGGTCCCCGCGTAGATTTTGGATAAGGAGTCGCCATTGTCTGCCCAGAGGTTGGCGTGATTCGCCCAGAAGTCAGATGCCGCGTAGTCGCTTCGATGAGCCAGGAACGACTCCACAGCCATTTGTGAAATCAATGTCTGGATCAAGTTCGTCCGGTCCAAACAATCCAGGCAGTTGGTGCGGAACACACCATCTTGTTGCAATACAACCACCATTCGGCCGCTATTGGTCTCACCGGTCTTATCAGCCGGGTCATCTGTTTTCTCAGCAAGAAAGTAGGCAAACCCGTCTGTTGACTCTTCGATATACCGGCGAATATCTTTGGCAGCTTCATAGCCTGCTGGACCTTTTGTTTCCGCATGAAAGTCATAATGTGTCTCACGAAGCAAAGCGTGCTCAGCTGAGCCACCGCTGGACTGGCTGTATGGAGAGTGTCGAATAGCGTTGCGGTACAGTGTCGACAGTTCAACTTCTGCGGGCTTCGTGTCACTCAGCAAGTTTATGATGTGGACTGCGCCGTATATGTGCTCCAGGTCTTCGAAATGCTTGTTGAAGGCAGGCTGGGTTCCTTCAGGCGATCTAGTGATGGCGATTTTCTGTCTGCCAGGAAGAAGGTCTGCGGCTTGCTCCCAGAACACGGGTACCGAGCCTCGAACCTGGACATAGGAGAATAGTGTGCCTGCTGGGCTGCAGAATATCGTTTCAGTCTCCACAAAGTTTGCTACATACCCATCGTCATCAATGCCTCTGGAGTTGAAGCGGGTTCCGGCTCTTCTGCATGACAGCCGCGAGATCAGGCTCATGTAGGATGGCATTCCATTCCTTGGTTCACGCAAGGGGGACGCCCTCTGAGGAATAGTCACCGTACTACAGAATCCACGGATAGCAGACGTGAGGATTCGCGAGGAGTCCAAAGCCTCTCGTTCTGGCGGCATGAGGCGCGAGCGAAACTCGACAAGTGGACGAATCATGAACGAATTCCACAGGTATGTGTCATCAAAATTGTCGATGTCGAATGAATTGGGGTTAATAGATCTGCAGCAACGTTAGCTGACTCTGCATCATGGTCCGCCGGTATTTTGACGACCAATAGACCGACCTATCTTGTAGCCTGTTTGTCACATCAAAATCGGTACTATAATAGAATGATCCATTGCTCAGCAACTTTCGCAGCTCGTGGCAAGGATGTTCCACAGCAACCTCGCGGCGACTGAGGCTTTGGCCGTATCCAGACTGACTGCTATATGTCGACATGGTATCCGAGAAGTCTGACTCCTGTGGTTCCAAAGGCACGACATCGTCATAGTCTGCGCTGCTCAAACAGTAGAAATCCACAGTTGCAATCTTTTCCACTGTCTCCCCCGGTCGAATAGTAGCAGCTCTCTTGGCCTGGGTGATGACTGACAAGAACACTTCGCCGTTGGCGGAAATGAGACCTAGTGTCCCATACACAGGCATAAGGCTCAGCGGGCGGTAGTCCTTCAACAGTTGGCTCGATATAGGGGCAAATTCCACCATGCACTTCGCAGCATGGGAGTCTACGCCGCCACGAGACTTGATGGAATGGAGAGAGGTTACCGATCCATTTTGAGGTGTATCGCTGCTCGCCGACGAGCTATATCGCAATACCAGGACATGGGACGAGGACACGATGGCAATCGATCGATAGGGAGAGTCCCTTATGTAGAGTTCGCTCAGTTTCTCGGGAGCGGAAGCCTGCGCAGCCCATGAGCTTTGTGTGTGGTCCATTGAGCAGGCGCGAGCATTGGATGTCTCTCTTCGGGCGGGCGGAAAGGGTTCGGGCTTGCTACACGGGCAGATTATCCATTATCTGGGGATCAGTGATACAGGATTGGGTGTAGAAGTGCCGTTACCTGGCCTGTTGTGGTAGCGAGTAGCTCACAACATGCGTGCTTGGGCGGATGAGCTGGCCGAATCCAGCCGTAGATGACGTCTGCTGTGATACGTCGTTCGAGACAACCAGTGACGCTCAGCCCCACGGATGGTACATCAAGGAGAATTTCAACAAACAAAGGCCCCAACAGCAACATTGTCTCTGAATTATGTTTATTCTACGCCCCCTCCACCTTGTCTGATGTTCGTTTATCTTTGTCACATCTTTATCTCCATGTTCTTGTGCCGGTTTCCTTTGTCGTATCTTGTGACACGCTGTGCTTACTTTTTGTACCATGACAAGCCGCACTGATACAAATACAACACCAACTCTCTCCGCGAGACTCGAGAGAGGCCCCTTTTTTTTACGTCAATATTTACACATGGACTGCGAAATAATACGCAGCATCTCATAAATTGTACAGTAGAGCTTTGGATTGCTTGTAGCTGTGGAATTGTCGGTGTCCTGCGCAAGGGTGTGCCTACCCTACAGGAAAACAGTTGGAGGGAGAAAATCTAGGGTTGAAGGAAATTCCTTCTCGACATCGGACGGACAGATACCCAGGGAACTACTCACGACGATTGCTCAGTTTTTGTCACTGAATGTCTCAAAAGATCATCGTCAAGTTTAGTCTTCGACTCGGAGACTGATGCCAACTAGTGCCAACTGGCGGTATCTACACGCTACTACGAGGTTGTGTGTTATCTTGAAGGCGATGAAGAGGGGGATAAAAAACGGTAATGGATAAACCCAGGAGGCAAATCGAGCTTCAGATTCGAAATTGAGATCATGCTCTCTGTGAGAGAGCGTTCAGTCTCTTCCTATCATATGTTTTTATTGGTAAATCATCATAAGCCCATATAGAGAGAAAGATTCTCCATCGATGCCCTTCGAGGAAAAAAAATTATGTATGGCGCCGGCTTAGTCACAATGATGACTCAGCGCCAATAACCTTTTTTCACACTGGATCCTACAGCAAGCTCCAATGCTGGAAGGTACATCGGCTTCTTGTATACCTTCTCCATTCAGCCGCAGAGAGTGGAGCACACAGCTGAACGGAGCTACATGTTGGTAAAGTATCTGCGACAGATCCTGGGCGCACGGCGCGAGACCATCCGAATTCCTCTGCTCCAATTTGGCAGCCAGCCTTCCCGCATTACCCAACCTCGTGCCATAGTTGCAGAGCTCTTCTCCCTTCATTTATCGCATCGTTGTATCTCAATTAATCACGAGTCGTGACGCGCGAACAACTGTCATGAGTGAATTCGCTTCTTTCGGCGGCTCCGACGAGGAGTACGCTTCGGTGCGGAAGCACCAAGCTGAGGTGGTCAGTAGGCTCATGATGCGACAGTGCCGTCTACAAGCTATCGTTCAACGTCCAAGACCCCCAATGCTGATGCTGCCAATTACAGGAAGCGGACCCCGATAACTTTGACAGCTGGGAAAATTATATCAAGTCTAGCGAGACTCTAGATGGTGGATTAAATCGCAATTCAAGCCCTCAGGCGCTGGCTACGTTTCGCGAAGCCTACGATCGTTTCCTGCACAAGTTCCCACTGCTGTTTGGATATTGGAAGAAATATGCGGATATGGAATTCAACATTGCCGGGCCGGAGTCAGCAGAGATGGTATGGCGATGGATTCTAGAACTCAAGATGCTAGTGCTGATACTGACCTGACGGCTGATAGGTCTATGAACGAGGCTGTGCTTGCATCACCAACTCCGTCGACTTGTGGACCGACTATTGTTCCTTCAAAATGGAAACGACACATGACCCCCAGATCGTCCGAGAGTAAGTATAGCATGATGGTTTCCTTCCCCTTAACAAGCCATCAACGCAGTATCCCTAGAGGTCGCGAGCATACCTCACGTTGCCTACTTTATCCTTGAGACCTTCACACGTCGCTGTCGATACATGTGCTGGTGAGATATGCCTTCAATGGCCCTACCACTTTCGGGATATTCTCTCACGCTATGCGCCAGGCTCTGTTGATGTCCTGCTTCTTATTCACAGCCTCCCTCTTATCGCCTTGATGCCGCTTACCCCCATCGATGACCTGAGAAATGGAGTTGCACTTTTTGTACTAGTTGCTTTCGTGGTCATACCCCTTCTTGTATTAAACCTCCCTTCCCCTATTGCCTATCCGTTTACGAGATATGTCGAGAATTGTGGAACTCTAACATCTTTGTCCAGCCTTTTTGAACGTGGAGCAAGCCTAGTTGGTCTCGATTTCCTTGCCCATCCTTTCTGGGACAAATATATTGAGTACGAAGAGCGGCAAGAAGCACAAGATCGCATTTATGCTATCCATGCTCGGGTAATTCGGATTCCAATGCACCAGTATGCTCGCTACTACGAGCGGTTTCGCAATCTTGCTCATACTCGGCCGTTGGCTGAGGTTGTGCCGGCTGACGTTCTCAGCCGGTTCCAAGCCGAGGTCGAGGCAGAATCAGCAGCTCAGGGTGGTGGTGCACGGCCCGAGCTGGAAATAGAACGGGACATTCGAGCCAAGATTGACGCCATGTACTACGAAGTCTTTACAGCCACTCAACAGGAAGTTTCCAAGAGATGGACCTACGAGTCGGAGATTAAACGACCGTATTTCCACGTCACCGAACTGGAGCACTCTCAGCTCAACAACTGGCGCAAGTATCTGGATTTTGAGGAAGCCGAAGGAGACTTCGACCGCGCAGTCTCATTGTACGAGCGATGCTTGGTGACTTGTGCCTTTTACGACGAGTTTTGGTTCCGATATGCTCGATGGATGGCTGCACAAGACGGTAAGGACGAGGAGGCACGCCACATCTACATTCGAGCATCCATTTTCGTACCGATCAGCAGACCCGGTATCCGAATGCAGTGGGCTTACTTCGAGGAGAGCTGTGGCAGAATTGACGTCGCCGCAGATATTCATGCAGCGATTCTTATGAAGCTGCCAGATTGTGTTGAAGTGGTTGTCTCATGGGCCCATCTGCAACGTCGTCAAAATGGACTTGATGCTGCTGTTCAGGTGTACCGAGACCAGATTGATGCGCCAACGGTGGATCTTTATACAAAGGCTGCTTTGGTGGCAGAATGGGCTCAGTTATTGTGGAAAGTTAAAGGTTCAGCCGAGGATGCTAGAGCCGTGTTCCTTAAAAACTCGCAGTGGTATGGCGACAGTCTTGCTTTTTGGGAGAAATGGTTTGAGTTTGAGTTGGACCAGTCTGCAACTGGCGACGAAGAAAATGAAACCGCCGAACGCATTAAGAGCGTGTTTGATGAGTTTCGCACGAAGAGCAGATTATCTGGGAGTGTCAAGCGGGAATTGGCTAGAGTTTACATGAACTACCTTGTCCAACGAGGCGGCAAGGACGCCATGACAGTTTTCTTGGAAGTGGACCGAGAAATGTTTGGGTGAGTTTTCTGACAATCTCGAATTTGCAAATCAAATAACTGACATTGCAAATAGACCTGCCTCAATATCCTCCAAGTCGGCTATCACTTCCAAGGAGAATGGCACCGCTGGCGGCGAGTTGGACGAAGCAAGCAGACGAAAGGCAGAAGCGAGGCTGCTTGCGTTTTATGAAACCCACACTGAGCCTAACACCGCAGCACAGGGTCCCGCAGACTTCAATTAATTTGATACAAGTCGTTGGGTCCATCGAAATGGACGAGGACAGCTTTTGTAGTGGATTATCACGCATCCACGCTGTACAATAACTCCTGGATATGATGGTGAGGCATCATGCATGCATACTAGTCGTCGGATGCTTGAAATATGAGATCCGACGTGGATGAGGGCTTATGTTATGAGCGTGGTCCGCGGTGGAGTGCCGCTTTCATGGCAGTCACCTTATCGGACCTCAGGTATTACGGGACTCATGCATGAAAGGGAATTTGCCAACCAAATAAAAACGACCTTGGATGGGATAGAGCATCAATTAAGGGTCTGGGTTAAGCGTCGCAATCGTAGTGATTAATAGTCATGTATGGCTACAAGTAGTGCTAAGATAGTATAATGAAAAAATAGAAATACGGTCCCGAGCACGCTAATTCGGGACTTTCTCTCTTTACATTGTGAGTATTCTTTTTTTTTTTTTTTTGGTATGGATTCATGGGTTTATCATTGCGTCCTACTGACGTGGATGAGGGTTCTTTATCTGGCAAAGACAACGAGCGGAGTTGAGTCCTGGCCTGCGAAGACAATTCTTTCAAGGAAAGGATGAAGTGGCGTAAGTAACGTCGGGTAGTTGCTGGTAACAGTTTAAATGTTGTCTTCTGACTTCACTCACGGATGAAAGTGAGCGGAAAGTGAACTGAGTTAAAGGGAAGGTGGGTAAGAAAGACAATACAAACGGGTGCCAGCTTGTGTTTGCCTCTCAGAATTGTGTCATGTCAGCCGCTCATCTCACTGTTTGCTTGGAGGATGAAATTATATTTAGTTGGTTAGTCTCCTCTTTGCTCCTTCTTTCTTTCCTCCTTCAACATCGAGCAGCATCTCGTTCCCTTTCGCGTCTTCTTCCGTTTCCAGCCCCTTTGGCCACATTTTCTACTTCTTTGAACTATCAATTCTGGACCTGCTCGTCTAATCTTGATTACTTCCCTGTAGTGCTCCGAGATGGTGGGAAAAGGAGGGGTGCAAGGCGGCAAGGCGCTTACAAGCCCCGATCGTCTTCACAAGATTGATCAGCTCCGAGAGAAGAATGTAGGGACGCACATGCCTCTACCACAACTTGTGGTCGTTGGCGATCAAAGTTCCGGCAAGTCATCGCTTTTGGAAAGTCTGACTGGCATTCCTTTCCCAAATGGTCAGGGTCTTTGTACACGATATGCTACGCAGATTACGCACCGTCGCGATCGTGTGGAGGACATCACCATACGCATTATTCCTGGCCCTGACTCTACTGACGAAGACGTGGCTCGTTTGTCGGGTTATCACCGCAGTGTGAAGAACACTGATGAACTGCTTGTTCAGTTCGAGTCAATTTTGATCGAGGTGAGCAAGTACACTATGATTTTATGAACGTCTGGCTAATGGAAATTTTGACTTCAAGGTTAATGCTGCCATGGGGATCAAGACCAAGTTGAACCCGGAAGGCAAGAAGACTTTCAGCCAGGACGTGCTGAAGATAGAAAAGTGTGGCCCTACAGAAGATTATCTGACCGTCATCGATGTTCCTGGAATATTTCGTAACACTGAAGAAGGTGTTACAACTGAGAGAGACAAGTCGCTTGTTCTTGACATGGTCAAGGGCTACATTGAGCAAGAAAGGACCATCATTCTCGCCGTTCTCCCAAGCACTGTCGATATCATGACGCAAGAAATTCTCAATATGTCCGAGAAATATGACAAATCTGGAGAGCGAACACTGGGCGTACTTACCAAGCCTGATTTGCTGACTGAACGCAGCACTAAATCTGTGATCTGTGACTTGGTCAATGGGAAGAAAAGGCCACTTAACCTTGGTTACTATGTTGTGAGAAACCGGGGTGCAGACGAGGACAGCAACGATGGCCTAGCTTCGAAACGAAGGGAGGAGATGTTCAAGGAAGAGCCTTGGTGCCATCTTCCACCTGAGCGTGTCGGGATAATTGCGTTGCGGGAACGTTTGCAAGAGCTGTTGGGTCAAATCACTGACCGAGCTTTTCCCAAGCTTCGCACAGAAGCCAAGAAATTGCTCGCCGATTGCAACAAGTCACTTGAGGCCCTCGGATTTTCCAGACAAACGGAGCGTGAGCAACAGCAGTATCTCTGTGAAGTTGCCGCACAGTTTCAAAGGACCGTACGAGATGCTCTAGAGGCCAATTATTCGTCTCAAAGTGCGCTTGAAAACAAAGAGTTACGCCTCATCACACGTGTCATCAACATGACAGACGAATTCAACATCGAATTCACAAACTCCTCTCACTCCCATTGTTTTCAGAAAGAAGACGGCGCTCAGTCAGCCCCGCAGACCAAGGAGCACCAGGAGTATTCTAGCCAGGACCTCGATCCCACAAAGTTCCCCGAGCTGAATGATATAGTAGATGTTGATTTGGCTCCTACAGCTCCTCAAGGAGACATCTTGAAATGGATCAAATGCACATACCGTGGATCTCGTGGCGTTGAGCTGGGCACATTTGGCCCTAGTCTTCTCTCTAGTGCATTTCGAGAGCAGTCTACAAGCTGGGGCCCATTGACCAAAGTTTATCTTAGCAAAATCATTCTTGTAATCCATCGCTTCATCCTGAGAGTTCTTGCACTGAGTTGCGCGGACACGAAGGTTCTTGAAGAGATCAAGTCCTTCATCACCTCTGAGCTTCTGGACCGGTACCAAGCTGGGATGGAGCAGGCGATGCTTCTTGTGAGCCTTGAGAGGGATAAGAAACCGTACACGTTGAACAGCGCCTTCAATACTGAACTTGATGGATCGCGAAGCCAGCGCGTCCTCAATCCGCTTAAAAGGAAAGCCAGCATTTTCAACAACGACGTCAAATACGTGAATCTCGAGGAAATCAAGACCGTTGTAACAAAAAAATCGAATTTGCAGAACGCCCACGAAGACATCCACGATATCCTGCAGTCATACTACAAAGTTGCCCGAGAACGATTCGTCGACAATGTCTACCGTCATGCAGTCGACCATTGCTTGTTGACTGGGCCGATGAGCCCCCTGTTGCTCTTTACGGAGAAATGGGTTCTCAGTCTCGATGAGGAGAAACTCAATTGCATCGCAGGAGAGTCCCGTTCGGTTCGAGAGAAGCGAGAAAAGCTAAGGAAGAAGGTCCAAGACCTCCAGAGTGCCTTGAAAATTCTGCGTTAGTTGACTAGGGGAAGGGTTTATGTGGTGGAATGTTGGAATCCACCAGAGACCTTTGGATTTCTTAGGATGAGGGCCACAAATATCTGGCGTTGCTTAGTTGTGTGCGGAAGCTTGTTGTCCGGAGGAATTTCGTCACTTGTTGCTACTGTTGCTTGTCAGGATGCTTAGAAGTCGAGAGGAACGGTTGCGTAGTGTGTCTGTTGTCGCCAATGCTAATTGAGAACTTTGTGAGCTATGTTCTCGGGTAGCAATGCAATGCTGGTAGTCTGATTACTTTGATGGCTTCCTTGTAATTGTGACTGATGGGTTTGCGTGACTATTCTGCCCCTTTCACGTTTGCTCCATGATTTGTCTTGAATAACCATACTCACTACCACATGAGCCTCTGCTTTTTGCTTTTTATATACAATTAATCGCATTTTACTTGCCAAATAGTTTCTCAATATACATCAATTTCGACTTTCAGCTATCCATTGTGTGGAAAGTGCCATACTCCTAGCATATCTGTTGCCAGCATGAAAATGCCATCTTGCCAGTCTTTGTTTTAGGAACTCAAAGAGCCCTGGAAATGTCCCGGAGTGAGAAGGAAGCTGGAGGGGACTCGGTTCACTTTAATTGAACTTTGTATATATCCAGATACAAGTGCCTTTCCGTAAAGTCCTGCAAGCAATGCCGTCTGCTGTAGACTTGATTTCCATTGTCATGCCTTCTACGAGATAGATGACTCATTAAAGAGTCATTATTTTATCCCTGAGGTCATTTCGGTTCCAATCTTTCAGAGCTCATCTGTTCTCTTCTTCGACCACCTGTGACTTTGCTCCCGGGCAATGACTCATACGTTACACACACAAACACCTCTGTCATTTGAACGTTCTCAATGGTGCCCACGCGCCACAGCTCCTCCATGACTTTCTCATCACCCTCAGTGCAAACACAACAAACCCGCGAAACAACCCTCCGCCCGCCCGCCTCCATGAGTAGAATACTGCTATCGTGGCACCGCCTTCTGGGCCTTTCGTCACAACGTCCCTCGTGGTACGAGGCTCGTCTGCGGGAAGAACTGGCCGAGAGACGGGAAGCTCAAACGGCGCTCCAAAGACTGAGCGAGACATGCGATGTCTTCTACATTCTCGGCAGAGCACGGCACGACGGCTACCCGCTGCGACGGGCTCCCGCCTTCAGTCACAGACACCCTCCGGTCTATGCCTACATGATGTCGAAGTACACCCTACGCTGGATGTTCTACCAAATCGCCGCCTTGCTTTGTGGCTCGCCTCGCTTCCGCCAAGTGAGGGAGGTGGTGAACCCGGCGCGCGATTCCAAACTTCGCGAGGTTGCAGCGCGCCATGAGATTGAACCTGATAAGTTTGAGCGGGTGTGCCGCTGCTTACGACGTGTGTGGCCCCTTCTCCCATAGAGACTAATTATCCCGTCTCACGCTTCTCACTCTCGACTTTTGGCATTTGTTTTCGTTGTGGAAACTTGGTCCGAGCTGGCTTGCAGATCAAACAAACGCTGAATGCGCCTAGCAAAGGCGACTGTTTGTTAAATGCCATTTGACAAACCCGCATGATATCCTGAATTCGCTAAACACGAGAAGCGGGAAGAATTGCGCAATGGCTTCCGATGATGGTGGGCAAACGGCAAGTCTTTCCCGTTTACTCTGGATCAACGGTAGCAGTCTATCATTGTACCCTGACAGGCGCTGTTTGCTCGCCCTTGCTACTACATTTGTTGTTGGCTTATATATCTGCATCTAGCCCATCCCATGAGGACGAGAACGATGTAACTTGTTCCTCAGATACATCGTATGCATATTTTGTTACTCGATTTATTGGATTCTTTACACTTGAAAACTTGAGACAATCGTTCAGACAATGGACCGCTCTTCTCCCCAACCGCTTACTTCGGAACCCAGGCCAAAGTTACCTGAGGATAAGAAACCTGCGGTAATTGGGCTTTACGGATTGCCAGGTTCGGGAAAGTCGTTTCTTTTGAAGGAGTTGCGGAAGCATCTCAATCATTGTGAATACGAATTTTACGAAGGCTCTGAGATGATTTCGTCCCTTGCCCCTGGCGGGCTGGAGGGATTCCAGAAACTTGACGAGGCCATGGCAAATTACTGGCGAGCACAAGCAATTGATCAGATTGCTCATGAATCCCGCCAAAGCGGGAAAACCGCAATAGTGACAGGGCATTTCATGTTCCGAACCAAAGGACACTACAAGGCTGTGTATACGTCGAATGACATGGCCACCTATGCCCACATCATATATCTGAACATATCAGCTAAAACCCTATATAGTCAACGACAAGAAGATACAAATAGGGTGCGCCAATTCTTGTCTATGCAGGATTTGGAGACGTGGCAGCGAACTGAGATGGAGGAGTTATCCCGTCTCTGTCAGGAACATGGCATTCTCTTCTCTCGCCTGGCTGAACAACCAGACAACCAACTCTTTACTGCCTTGAGGCTGATACAATTTTCACACCGAGTTTCCACCGTGCCGAACATGGTTCGCGTCGACGCTAGGATCGGTGAGATTCTATCCGGCCAAAATAACTTGCAAACGATGCTTGTAGTCGATGCAGACAAAACCATATCTACAGAAGACACAGGAAAGACGTTTTGGAACGCCCGGGGCTCGCTTGAAAAGTTGTTTGGCGGCCCGCTGGGTTATTCTGAGGCTGCATTTCTCCAGGCAGTGCTTCTGTACGAAGAAGCAGCCGACGAAGAGGAATTCGAGCGCATGTGCGACAGTGTGGCGTCCAGAACCAGGATTCATGCGGAGTTCAAGGCGCTTTTTGAAATGATGGCAACTGAAGATCATGTAGGTGCTGTCGTCGTGACTTGTGGTATTCGGCGAGTTTGGGAGAAGGTACTGGAGAGAGAAGGACTGTCCCAAACAGTCAAGGTCATTGGGGGTGCGAGGATTTCAGATGACATGGTTGTTACGGCGGAGGTGAAGGCTCAGATTGTTTCGAGACTGCAGCGCAGGGAGAATCTCCGTGTTTGGGCCATTGGTGATAGCCCCCTGGACCTGCCCATGCTCGAGGCGGCCGATGAAGCCATTGTTGTCACTGGCGAGGAGCAAAACAGGAGTCGCAGCATGGATAATGCGCTCCTGGAAGCCATCGAGGCCAGAGGGCTCAGAGTGCGACAAGTCCTGCTGCCGAGTAACGTCTCCCCACGACTCACGGATGCCGTGCTTGCTCAAATTCGTCTTACCGACGAGGAATTTCTGGACGCCATCTTTTCTCGTCGGCGTCGTCTACACCCGAATGTTTGGCACGCCACTGGAGGGAACGCCGCCAAGTTGCTCATGTCCCCGACTCGAGATGCCATGGTCGCCGGCCCGACGTTGAGGAAAGCCCACGCCAGCGTAGGGCTCTATCTTGCCTGGGGATTCCTGTCGGAGCTGCTGGGGGTCGAGGAGTATCCCATGCAGCATGTGCAAGGCCATCAGGTCATGGGCCACCGCCTCCGACATGAGCGAGAGACTACCATTGTTGCCCTGATGCGCGGCGGTGAGCCCCTGGCTTTGGGGTTGAATGAAGCTTTGCCTCTTGCCATGTTTGTTCATGCTACCTCCCCGGACGACATTCAAAGAGACCATATCGAGAACCAAAAGACCGTGGTCCTTGTTGATTCCGTGGTCAACAGCGGCAAAACATTGATCGAGTTCATCGAACGAACGCGCAACTTGCGCAAGGATATACGCATCGTCGTTGTGGCAGGCGTGGTCCAAACAGATGCCGTCATGCAGGAGCACGCGCTTGCCGGCGCTATAGAGCAGCATGGCGTTCATATTGGAGCGCTTCGTCTGTCGGAGAATAAGTTTACCGGATTCAAGGGTACGGATACCGGCCACCGCCTATTCAATACGACGCACATGGCTTAGCTCTGGACACGCGTGTATGAGAGAGGCTCTTTGTGTGGGCTCAATGAAGACGGCTGTACGAGGCTTCCCCCTCTGACTGTGAGATTGGTTGTTCAGCACGAAAGGCTGGTCCAGTTTGTCCAAGGGGCATGAAGGTTGGGGTTGCGGCTGTTGAAAGGGAGAATGGCGTAGTCAAATACTGATGTGAAAGATTGATACAGAATAAATCGGAAAACGGACACTCATATAGCTGCGCAGTCGGTGAATGCATGTAGTAGACGGCCTTTCCATCGTCGTGATGCAAGAGTGTTTGTGAGAGGGCATGTGAGCACAAAGAGCCAATCTTGCACATGTCAAAGGCTGAGGCTCACTCGAGTGCCGGTCTTTTGTGTCGATTTTTCACGAGATGCCACCTGACCAAGACTGGCGTCGAATCCTTCTTGAATCTTTCGTCCTTGTATTGAAGACCCCAATGACAGAATCTGTTGATGATGGCCACTCGACGGATCGTGAGGGCTGATTGTACAACAGCATCGACACAAGTATGACTAGGCATGTGAGGCGCCGCGTTGAACATGCAGCTTAGAATTCTCAGAACAATCTTTATGACCAACGATAAACTTATTCAAGATTACACGATATGTCCATAATTGCGTAAACATGGTTGCGCTCGTATGTAGTGAATACTACCAAGCGGGCTCAAACTCAATGACGCCTTTGTTGAGCAGGCCGCCCCCGGTGCCTCATCAATGTAAAGCACCCTGACAGAGGGAAATATATTAAGCCCTTTGAGGACATGGGCTGAAGAATTCCTTCCTCTTAGTGTACCCTCACTGCTTTGGGGACCTGCACGGCCTGAAGAATAAAAGGCAGGGAGACAAAGCACAACGTCATGAGATTTTCAACAAGAATGAGCGGGCAGTCCGTCTTTGTGTCTTTGTCGCACCAAGTCACTATGGCGACATTGGAAAACAATCTTTATGCGTACAAATCCAGCATTTAAACAGATTTATGCCTGCCCTTCCTCGCAGCCAGGTACACACTCCATGCGCTCCGTCATCAACATTATACTACACCGAGTCGCCCGCTGGCCTGGGCAACACTTCAACACGCGCAGCTCAGCATGCAACGAATAAAGAGCAAGTTTACTGCTACCTGGCCCTGTTCCTCCACGCATCTGTACTGACCGGCCACAGACGCATTCGCAAAGCGAAAGATTGAGCTTTCTTCCCTGGATTCCAGGAAGCTCATCGCCGACGCCCGGTTGATGAAGCTTGCGCCTAAAACAGACGGCAAGGGCGCTGAAAAGTGCCCCCCATTATCATACTTGTTCGAAGCATGGGACGGTGAAGATTGCAAACATGCCAATGTGGTCGTTACGGTGGAAGTTACAGCAGATAACAAGCGCTCTCTCAAAGAGTACAGCGACCGCATTCTCGAATGCTTCGGCGAGGGCCGCCGTGACAAGAAGGAGAAGAAAAAGGGAGCCAGCAAGTTCTTGAGCAGCAGACGCGGCGTCAGGTCGACATTTCGACGTGTGTTTTTGCGCGCTGCTTGGACTTGAAGCACGGGGACTTGGGCTTGGATATTGGTAGCGGCTGGCTGGCTGGCTGCAGTTTGTGGACGACGGTCAATTGGGAGCATTTGGGTAATGGTCTTTTTTTGAAATGAACACTGTATGATAACGCGTATCTGGCTTTTGGAGCTGGGGTGCCCCGTGTCATGTGCGATTTGCACAACTGGACATGGGAGGTCTGTCTCGTGGGGTTTTGTCGAGAGGCATCATAAGCTGCTGCTCAGGGTGGTTGCACGGCGCAAGGCAGAAACGAATTACACTGAGAAAGAGTGAGCGTCGTGGAGATGATGTCTGTCCTGCTTCCGTTTCTCTTGTTTGCTGGACTGGGGAGATGTGAGGGTCGTATTGATGTGTGACAGAGATGGGAGTTATTTTTACTCCGTGGCATGATACATGCCTTCTGCCGCCTCCCAAAATTCGACAGTTTGTTGAGAAGACTGGTCCAGCTCTTGTTCATGAGAGGTGCTTTGCCAAATCACCATCATGTTCTAGCATGTAACTAGTCCTCCCCATGGCCAAAGGTTCGTTCCATTCAATCAGAAAGGCACCAGCTACATACTTCTGGCAAACACAGCCTACACTCGGATGATTTATATTCAAAGGTCAGGTGAAAGTCAAATGCAGGCGGTACAAACAATGCCGTCCTTGCAGCAGCATTCGTCATTCATGCTGCTTAAACTACCAACCATATGCTCTACTATGACACACCGAAACAAGAGCTGTCTTGTGTTCTTGTCTGTACATGAGAAGCTGGGGCCCGTGTTTCTCGGCATTCCAATAATAGATACGGCAGTGGTGTAAGCACGGCGCACGTATTGAACATGAGCCCGCGTTGAAGATGAAGCCAAAGCCCGTTGAACATGGCAGCACACGAGCTCAGCATGAAACTCTTGGACACAAGCACAAGGCTGACTCTTGTAATCTAAAGTCTCCTAGCAAGAGGGTTCAGAGTGTTTTTTCCAGCCAACGCAAGAGCCAGGACCTTGCCTGAACAGGGCGCGGTAAGGAGGAGTGGTGCCGGGCCATGCTCTCCATGTGAACAGGTTACGAGCCAGTAGTCCTGCATGAGGAACAGCCACCTCGATTCTTGCCCTGGAAGCCTGAAATTTACTATTTAAGCGGTCCTGTGGCCGCAAGTTGTTCTCTACTACTTGTTCCTCCAGAATTTTAGACCACCACATCGCCCATCACACCTACACTTATTCATCTTTACCACTTGACTATACTTTTACGGTACACTACTACAACATCACCTTTCTTGACGAGAATTTGGCTTGATACCCAAATAGAAGGGGGAATCACACTACAAACTCTCAAAAGAACCGGACAAGGAGCGGCTATGGAAAGGCAAGCCTTCAACTCAAACACCGGAGAGGACCTCATGGCCTTCACTTCATGGGACTCTACGGATATACCTCCTGACCTCCGAGAATTTGCTTTGGAGTATTTTGTGCCTGATCCTCATTTGAGGGAGAAAATTTTTCGTGACAAGGGACATTACGCTGATCAAGGAGCGGCTGTGAAAGAGCAAGCCTTTAACCTAAACACCGGAGAGCCCCCCAGGGCCTTTACTCCTTTGGACCCTACGGGAATACCCCCCTTTCATCAACAACTTCCATGGAATTATTTTGATTTGGGACCTCAGAAAGTACCTTCCGTTGGCCAAGGACATTCCGCTGCCCAAGGAGCCCAGGTATATTTCCATCAGCAAGAAAATTACTATACTCGAGGATATTTGCCATATTTGCCTAATCAAGGACACGCCCTTGATCAAGGAAATTTCCCTGGACAAGGACATTTCAATTCTCAGGAATATTCCAACGATCAAGAATATCCCAACAATCTGGAATATTCCAACAATCTGGAATATGCCAACAATCTGGAATATCCCAACGATCAAGAATATTACAACGATCAAGAATATTCCAGAGCTCAAGAATATCTCAATGACGCAGGATATGACAGTGGGTGTAACAAGTACACTTTGGAGCTGTTTGGTGACGATGCCGACGATCCGCACCAAACACAAGCGATGTCAATGCGGCCCTCTTCCCCTGGAAATCCACGGCGGGGAGGATATTACATCATGGCCCCAAGTTCCGCAGTGATGCGGGCACTCTATCCGTTTCTCCCGAACGACCAGCGCAGCATAGACTTTTAGGAGCGTCGAGCTCAACAACCTCGTCTGGTGGAAACTCCTAATGACAAGAAGCTGACCTCTTGTCTGGGAAAAAAAAAAATCTTGGGAACCGACGGGATCGACAAGTTGCAGTCGACGTCCTGGGCGCGATGGGAAAAGGACGGCTGTAATGAGACGCCGGATTGGAGGGAAGGCGAAGGTTTCAACGTTGATGTGGAAAGGACTTTACCAAATCTTGACGAAAACGACGTAATTACTTGGCCATTCAGCCGTCTCGGAAACTCCGACTTTAGCAAAGAGATTTTTGAGGCATTCTTCAGGGACCAGAGTCTCGCGGAGGAATTTGCGACGCGGCATGTGAAGGGCCTCGGCACTCGCGAGAAGCCTCACCTTCTGGAGGACAAGACGGAGCCTGGATCCCCTGTCTCGATCGTTTCGGGTCTGGAGCTGAGGAAAAGGAAGTTTGGGAGTTATTTGTCGGTTGCGGGCTATTTTTCCTGTATTGAAGTTACCCACATTCATTCTTACAACAATCTAAACCCTAATGTCATGATACATGGCCTCATCGTCTCACAAAGTCACACGCGGTGCATGCGAAGAGAGGATATTGCAGTTGACAACCGTTATTTCTGCCCTCATGACGTTGGCACGTCGTTGTTTCAATGCTGAGACTGCTCGGCTCTTGGTGGCTATTTTACCCCATGTTGCTGTTTTCTCCTATTTTGAAGCACTTTGTCAATGCAATTAGCGCGAGATGCGTGGATGTTGTGCGCAAAATTGGTAGATGTATGTTGCCATTAGTGCTACGAAGCCGGTAACTGAGCTAGACGACTCGAACAGGAGCGAATGCAAGAAACACTGCAGATCTGACAAGTTGCAAAGTTTCCTTCATGTAGGGGCTGAAGCGTGCCAACACGGCCTTATTTATGGTCTCGGTGTAAACAACTTGGTGCGATCCGAGGGCACCAAATACTTCCACACCTGTATTGTTTATTGCACAACCTTTGATGAGCACCAGACGTTTAAACAAGGCGCTACACTGCGCGAGGAACATTCTTGTACGAGTCCCCGCATAACTTGCTCACGAGGCCCTTGCTTTTACCCAGTCGCTGGTTTCTGAAGCCGGCTGAGATTGGTACAGACCATGGCAATGACTACCTACCTAGGTGCCCAAGGTACTTTTGATTCCACATTGACGGCGGGTACGTTCCCAGGCGTATTGACATGTTGCGGTGCGCATCTTTCTCCCTTGCCTTTTGATGTGTATTCTTGTGTCGCGAACAGTGCTGGCATGAATATTGGGACAGGTGGAAAAAAATTGTGCTAAACTGGTAGGAAACAAGGTGAAACAACCATGTCGATTAATTTTGTGGGAGATGTCTTGTTTATACGAGGACACTATTAGGCCTCTCCAATAAATATTTCATTCATTCAACTTTGAGGTGTGTTCCTCGGCGAGTGCTATGCGAAGAACTCGACTACCCCCACTCTCGCAATAGTCAAAACTAGAACACGCCCGTACATGCTAGATTCCTTTACATCATTTTTTATTCACCTTATTTTTATACTGCATCAATTCATACAACTCGTATTACTCAGGGATACAAGTTTGTACGTTCCATGACAAGAGCAGCAAGGATGCTAATAAGCATAACACTGACACAACCACACACCGCACAGGCAATTATAAACCTAGTGTTTAGGGCCAAAAAGTCGGATTCACGTTCCTGGTTTCACCTTGTGACTTGGACCCGGTAGAATTTGTGGATCCTGCGGGCTGACCGTGGCGTCAACGGTGCCATCGTCACATTTTTTTTTTTCAGACGGCGTTTGCGCAAGATTACTACTGGAAATGTATCTATTCAGTGCGCCGGGGTCCTCCCGTTTCGGGTTGTGCTATTTGTGCGGCAGAAAGAAAATCGTTATTCGTGCGGCACTAGACCCGATTCGGATAAGTGGACAGTTGGCCACACCCCACCATACATTTTCACATACACCCACATGGAAAAGGCTATAATTTAAAAATTTAAGCTGGATTCAATGAAGATCTATTAATTTTTTAATAACGCGAGCTTAAGCGAGCGCTAGCAGGGCCTAAATCGCTTAAAAACGCGATTTCCGGTGTTTTTGATGAATGTGTACACATTCACGGGATTCACGGGATTCACGGGCCGTTAATTATTCCGCTGCCTCTGAGAGCGCTGCCCGGGCTCCCAAGGGGTCATCCATTGAAGCTGCAGCTCTTCCGGCTGCGTTCGAGGGATAATTTCCTTAATTTCCAGCGACCCTAATACTACCGCTTGCTCTGTGGCTTGTCTACTTGTTGATTGAGTTTGTGTGTTATTCACAGCGTACATTGACCGCTGCCTTGACTGTATTACGAGTCTTCTTTGTTGTTGCGTCCCGAATTGTTGTTCTAGCTCTGCCTGCGTTGCTGTGCGCCGGCTACTTGGATTTACTTGGCCTCGATGACTTTGAGAGCTTGGTTGAGGCCTTTAAATTGGCTGTTGACCGCTATTATTATCGGAATCTTGGTGTTGTGTATTTAAGGGTGTATTTGAGGGCGGCGGGCGGCGCCTTCTTCGGTCGATTCTATGAGGGTGCTGAATTTAAAGATATTGAGAATCGGAAGTCTACGAGTCATGATTAGGTATGTTTTCTATGATAACTCATTGGTAAATGAATCCAAGGCTTACCAACGGCTTTTAAAGCCACCAATGATACGGAATATCGCTTTTCATTAAAGGCCGTTGCCTGCGAAGCCTTTCCAAGATAAAATGTGCGCAAGGCAGCATATATTAGTGTGTAAAAGAGCATATTTCCTCATAAGGTTCGAGATATTGCCTTC